TTAGATATATGTGCATGAATTGTTATGAAAGACATTCAGTTTTCTAGAAATTGTATGCAGACTTCAACAATAGTGCGGCACATATTTAGCTGTCAACAGACAAAAAAAATCAAGCTCCTTTCTATTTGTTAAAACACAAATATGTATCTTTTAAATAATTGAAATGCAATTATCTTAAATTTAAAATAACCGTCAGTGAATAAAAATAAAATAACAATCAGTGAATTGAAGACAGCTTCAATACAAAAGTTATCTGTATAACCTCCTCACAAAAAGAAGCAACTATTAGACATTTCCCAAACATATGTTTAAAAGAGGAATTAGCTGTACTGCACCACCGGCAATTAGCTGAATTAGACAACTCCTTCTAATCTACTGGATGCTGCAGAGACGAATAGACACAAAACAAAATTTTGCTGAATAGGGTGCTGTTTAAGATCCATAGACATTACAGGTAGAACTCGAGGGTTTAGGGATTTAGTGGCAGTACACACAACAGTTTCCGAAGTTTCCCAATGTGTCCCCAAGTCCAAAATGCTTTGGGAGCCCTGCAGTTGGGGTTAAGTGAGGGTTGTTTAACCTTTGAATAACCCATGATGATCAGATTCAGATGACATGGCACAATTCCTGATTGGTCCAATCTCTTTGCAGTCAAAATGGCAGCTACAGCATGAGCCAGCAGTGTTGTGCAAATGAGGCAAAAGCCTAATTAGCAAACAGATGATTACTAGAACAGGTTACAAACATCAGAATCCAATCATTGTATACCCTACAATGAATACAAGTAGAGTTGATGTTTTAAGAGGTAATGTGAACTCTGATGTGACAAAATGCTTTGATATCAATGGGAGAGTATCCAAATGTTCTCAGAATCCAAAAAGAACTATCCAATTCAAAAGAAATGAATAGTGGAATGGATGTAGAGCTACACCTGTTCTCAGCATATTCATTCAAGAGAGTATACAAGAAGAGAACTTAACTGACATTATAAAGGAAATTGCAGATATGAGAAAAATCAAAGTTTAAGACAAGTTGCAAACTTGAGCATCTTCAAACATTTGCAGAAACATGTTGAAAAAACAATGAATTAATCTCTTTTCTAGCATAAGCAAGCATTTAGGAGACTTGTAAAAACACTAATTTTGCTCCCTCCTCCTCCAACATATGTGTTTTAATTCCCCTGACATGTTTATATCCAACAGCCTAATTTTGTCAACATATTTATCTAAAAATATTACACTGGACTTCACAATGTGCTGAAAAATAAGATTATATTATTTGGATGCAGGAAAAAGTGAAATGGGACTTTCAACAAGGAAATATAAATGCAGGAGACAGTAGAGTCATGCATGTATTATACTCATGAAGACACCAACCACACCACTGCCTCACTGACAGTGAAGTTTGTGAAGCTTCTTCAACCTCAACCCACAACATCCATATAGGCTGAAGTACTTCCTGATCCTACCTAATCTTGAAAGCTAAGCAGGTCTGGGCTGGGTTGAAATCTGGATGGGTGACTTGAGTCCTGCATTGAGCAGGTGGTTGACATGATGGCCTTCTAGGCCCCTCCCAACTGTATGATTCTATGATCCACACATTTGGCACAACAAACTGAGCTTTGATATTCAGGCCTTATAATTGTAGAACCATGGAAAGCACATAATGTTGGGAACGTATTTCTATGTGTGGACCCCCTTCATGCATATAGCATGGAGGGTTAAGGGGATGGGGGAGAGGCACTGCAATTACAGTTTTTGAACAATGTTCTATTCAACTTTATAGCTCCAATTAAAATATCAACCCAGTACTTACACAAAATTAACAAACACTGAAAAGGTTTCTGTGTAATTAACCCATGATTTGTAAAAATGAGTGAAAAGTACTGCCCGCTGCAAGCGCCTAATTTCCACTTTGAATTAAGAACTTACAATTGGCTGGGGACATGAATAGGTGTCCATCCAATTCATGCCAATTTCCTCCACTGGGTCATTTCCTCCACTGGGCGAAATAAGCCAGTGGTTAATGCAACAACACTATGGGCAAACCACTGCATTGTTTAGTCACTACACTACTCACCAGCATTTTGGGTTCATCCATCACTATCAATGACCAATGATGACCCAGCCAAGTGAATGTGATTGGGAGTGCTGTACATGTGACAGCTGTATGCCTGCTCTTTCCCACAATTAATAAACACACAATTATTGTTCTGTGCAATGGTACCCTTTGGTCCTTTGTCTTATTGAAAGGCCTGATACCTTCAGAGGTGAAAGGAGGAAGACACTAAATTTACACAAGATTAAAAAAGTAAGATAGACAGTTCCACTAGTACTGCTCATTCATGACTTTTCTGATGACAGACAAATAAATAAATAAATGAGAAGGCTGTGAATTCAAAACACTGTCTACAAGAAAAGTACATACAATCCATGAATAACTGAGAGTGTGTGAATCAGAACTCGGTAAAATGTTTGCATCTTGGCTCACCATTCAACACATACATAAAAAGAAGTACAAGAGAAGTAAATACAGAAGAGCCCACACCTCCCTCCAACTGCCTAGGTTTATCTTACAGTTCAAAAATTATACTTGTAGGCAAAGTGAATGTTACAAATTATTTTAGTAAAGAAGTCAGAGTCCAACCGTCAGCAAAGATCCAGTTGGCCAACCTAGAATGAAAGACAAGATCCAACCCTTTGGTGTCAGCCTGTTCAATTGCCTACAATAAAATCCAGTAGCCCTTTTAAGATATTATTCTAATGGAAGTATCTTCAGGTAAAATGAGGGATATCATCATGGCCGGCTCTTTCTCTGACTTATGACCATTCATTTCAATATCTGGTCTGAGCTTATGAACATACAATCCACTGTTTCTTACTGCAAAGCCTGAAGGCCACTGGCAGTTCCCAATCATGCAGCTGTGGCTCTCCATCCAGCCCTCTCATTCACTGCCTTTCTTCTTTGAGGTGCTCATTCCCCATGGAGGCTATTTAGCATTGCCTTGTTTGTTTTAACAGTGGGTCAGCTGCTCTGCCCTCAGCCAATGGAGGAAATTTCAGGGGTTGGAAATTAGAAGGTGACAGGAGGGTGGGGAAACAAGCACAGCCAACTAGATGTGGTGATGCAGAAGTCCTGGAGGTGAAGAATAACATGACTGGCTATCAGTAGTGGTACAATGCACAAGTGCTAGAAATAGAGAGGAACTTTAATGTATGAATGAAAGAGACAACAAAGTAAAACTGCACAGGGAGATTTTGCAGCACTGTATAGCGCTCAGCATTCTTTCAGTAGCAAGAAAAAGATCCACCCTAATCTAAAACCCTGCTGAGCCTGGCAGAATTTGCCTGCATGGTCACTGACTGATGATGATTTGTTTGGGTGGCATGGAGGGGAAGAAGAGGCCTGAAATGTGGTGGGGGGGACGAAGAGACCTTCACAGACCAGAAGAGACCCCTGAAGTGTCCTTGGTAGTGAGCCTGCAGTCAAAGTGGCTTCTGTTTGAAGGTAATGAAGTTTACTGATAAGAATCTTCTCCATATGATCAGGAACTCTGCCTGGTCACCCTCCTGTTCATATATCTGCACAGAATTATGTCCAACCAAACAGCATGGCTTTTTTTCATCATGTGCCTCTTGAAAACTATTTGAGCTTTTTTAATGTGCCATATGGCACAATCATCATACCCTCTGCTTCTCTGTGTCCTTTCTCCTTCCCCCTCTACTGCAGCCAAGACCTGTTAAAACCATCATGTATTCAAATCAGAAGCAAACATCCCTCAAGACTGGAAATCTGGGAAAGACAGCTGTATCACTGATACTATTCACAATCACACGGATTACTTGCATTTTTAGCATTCTAGCTCAAGTGAGCAACCCTAACATGCTTAAGATATCATGGAACCTGAGTAGCCAAACAGAAGACTATGTCCACAGTTGCAAATCATGTTTAATATTAACAGAAGCAGGGACAGAATTTGTAAGTGAACTGTATGAGGAACATGCACAATTAGCTCATACTTCTAATAAACTTGAAGAGCCATGAGCATATTATAACACAATTACTTCGCACTGAGCTCTGGTGAGAACAGGTACCAAAAATTCTTAGACACAAGCATGTGATTCATGTCCTGCCTAAACAACACATCATTCAAGTAAATAAGCTAAACACCCACTAAAGTCGCCTGGACTCAAAGCAATTTACATGCAAATATTTTTGTTCAAAGCATTTGAGGACTGCAAACTCAGGGCAGCTTGTAGTACTCCAGGATAAACAGGACCACACACTGTTTACAAAACTGGTTTAGCTTTATGCCAACATAAACTCCAGATTACTTGTATACATACGGAGAGAGATTATCAGACTTTTTCATATGGAGTTTGGCTGTCCTCAAGCCGCAGCCAGCACCTGTCAGCGTTTCAACCGACATCTGCAAAAACTTGTTCTGTGCAGTCTGATAAAAGTTTTTAAAAAGAAAGCAAGCAAAGAAAACGGAAGGGAGACACTGACGCGAAGTAATGCTGAGAACAGCGAGGGTGCCAGAGAGCGAGCGACTGTTCTGGGGCATAAACGTGTGCGAGCCCTGGTGTGAAGATCCAAAAAGCCAGGGCTCAGTAACGACACCGCACTTTCCCTGCGCTCGCAGCGGGCAACATCCTTCGGGGCTGCGCCCAGGGGATGAAAGGCGCTAGCAACCGCGCTCCTGTTGCCTTGGCTCTCGGCGCACGATCGCCAAAAGCCAGGGCCACCGCACAGCAGCTTTCCCTACCTGGTCGAGGGGTGCCAGGGATGGGAGGCGGGGAGGCTGGCCCTGGGAAGGAGGACACCTCCGTCGCCGTGCGCTGCGGGAAAGGGAGGGGGCGCGAAGAAGGGGCGCCCCTCCAGAGAGGCGCCTCGCGAGCCTGGTGGGCGGCCACGGGCCGCAAGAAGCCGGGCGGGCGGGGAGGCTCGTTCCACTCCCGCTCCCTTTGTGCTCGCTGCCCGAAGCCAGCCTCACTCACCTACGGTGGCCAGCGTCTCCAGATCCTCGAGTCTGTAAGCCGGCGGGTCCGGCGGGGCGGGGGAGCCTCGGCCGGCGGGACTCGAGGACGGCGCGGGCTGGGGCTCGCCGATTGCTGCCGCCTCGCAGCCGCCGGGGCTTCTGGCCCCGACTTTCGCCCTCACGGCGCTCAGCGTCTCCATGCGGGTGCGCGGCGGGAGGCTCGTTCCGTCAGGCCAAAGGGCGAAGCTGGAGTCTCCGGAGCCGGCCCGGTCTCGTCTCCCCACCGCGCTTCAGCGGCTGCAGCTGCCCAGAGCCCGGGCCAGTGGTCGGCTCAGCCTCGCGGCGGCGGCTAAGCAGCTGCCGGCGCCCCGCATCGCGCCCGGACGCCGCTGCCCTGCCCGGGTGTGCTCTGCTGGCTGGCTGGCTGGCTCGCGCGCGCGCTCGCGCGCTCGGCTGGGTGGGTGGGTGGGTGGTGCGAGCGCGCGCGCGCGCAGGCGCGCCTCTGGAGATGGATCGTGCGCCTCCGCTCCTCGCGCGCTTCCCGCCGGCGCCTCGGTGCAGACAATGGGCTTGCCGGGAGAGTGCCCCAGTCTCGCTCGCTTGCCAGCCAGCCAGCCGGTCGCACGCGGGGACGACAGGGCGGGGCGGGGTTTGGCTTCCTGCAGCTGCGGCAGAGCCCTCGAGCGGGCGGGCGAGCGGGCGGGCGGGGCACGCAGCGAGAAGGAAGGAAGGAAGGAAGGAAGGAAGGAAGGAAGGAAGGAAGGAAAGAGCGGGGAGGGGGAAGGAAGGGGAAGGAAAAGCCAAGCGGCCGGAGCAACCTGCTGTGCAATCGCTCGCGAATGCATGCATGCCATTTCCGCCAGTGCGAAGATGCATGCGATCGCCGCAGCTGCTCGGCCTCCCCTTAAGCCAAGGGAGCTGAGGGCTCCCTCTCACGCGCACACAGGCGCGCACCCAAGCACCTTTCTGGGGGCTGCGTGCAGACGCAGCGGCGCTGTCTCGCGGACGGACGAGCCCTCCCGCTACGCGCTGGCTCGCTCCCGAGTCTCGCTGCCGAGCTTTAGTGCCTGTTTCTGTCGCGTTGGTCCCTGCGGCGCTGGACTCCCCTCGCCCTCGCCCCGGTCCACTATGGGCCATGTCGACCGAGCCTTCACGAAGGGGCGGGAAGTCGCTGAGGAGAGGCTTGCAATTGTCAGGCTTATTTGTGCGCAGGAAGGCTCAAGCCCCTTCTAGGTGGAGAAGCTTTCGGGACAGAATGTTTGCTGCGCCCCTGCTCTTCCTCAGCCTCATTTATTGTGTTGCATGCTTAGGTTACGCCGGTTTCATACCTGCTTTCGCCCTCAGTTGCGAAAGCCCCTGTAAGAGGTGCTGATAGCATCTTGCCATAGGGATCCAGGGACCAGAGACTAGTACGAATGTCGTTTAGGAAAAGCGAGTACATCAATGGCAAATCTGGCGTGTAAAATTGTGAAAAGCCTGAGAATGGGTCAGCTCGAATGACCCAGAGGATGTGGCATTGGCACAGGTGACAGCGTGAGTATTGGGATGAGCTGCAAGGAATAGGTTGCGTACTGGGATGGACCAACGAAGTATGAGAAAGCAGTTCAAAGTTGATCCGGCTAGTTCAGCATGATCTTAATGATCGGATCTAGGGAGAAAAGCAGTTCCATAGGGGAGAAAGAACTAGACCATTGCTGGATCGACATTAATTTTGCCATCCCCTTGTACACAATCCATTCCAGAACATGTCCTGGAAATTAGTGGAAATTTTCAGGTCCAAAGCCTTTCCTGGCCTTTACCATATATACTTCCACATGCAAAGGAGGAAACCCTACCCCCCCCCTTGCCTTTACTCCTTTCAGAGCTCCAACATCAAGGCAGAGATTTCCATGGAAGATATTTATTTATTTAGGGAGAAACTGGCCAAGGGAGAACCTCCGAAGTGGGCCTTTCTTTCTGCCTGTGGACAGGTAGGACTGGATCCACAGGATTTTACTGTCTGGGAATCAGGTCTGAATTTTAGCTGCAGTTCAGTAATTTATTACAATAAGAACTAATGTGGTGAAGCTTTGAATCAAGGCCATTGGCTAACAGAACCCCCCGCCCCCCAATGAATAGAACTAATGTCCATCTTTCCTTGACTAAGAATCACAAACTGCACTTTTCCCTAATCTTTGAGGAGAGACAGTTCTTGGCACTGGAATATTTGAAAGCAAATAATAATTTTGAAGCAAACTAAGAGTGAAGGGAGAGGAGGTATTATTACAAACAATCATTTAAAAAGTACAGTCTTGTGGCAATCTCAGTAAAAATGCAAGCTGGATATGAGTCAACATTGTGATGTGGCTGCAAAAAGGACAAATGCTATTTTAGGCTGCATTAACAGAAGTATCACTTCCTCAGCATTGACTAGGTCACATCTGGACTACAGTTTCCAGTTCAGGGAACCACAGTTTAAGAAAGATGCAGACAAACTTAAGAAGGTTCAAAGGAGGGCAACAAGGATGATCCAGGGACTGGAAACAAAGCCCTATGAGGAGAGATTGAAAGAACCGGATATACTTATTCTCAAGAAAAAAACTGATAGCACTCTTCAAGTACATGAATGGTTGTCTCTAAGAGGAAGGCCAAGATCTCTTCTTGATCACGCCAAAGTACAGGACACAGAATAATGGGCTCAAGTCATAGGAAGCCAGTTTCTGGATGAACATCAGAAAGAAGTTCCTTATTATTAGAGCTGCACAACAATGGAACCCATGACTGAGGGAGGTTGTGGGCTCTCCTACACTAGAGGCACTCAAGATGTAGCTGGACAGCCATCTAAGAGGAATGGTTTAGTGTGGAGTCCTGCACTGAGCCAAAGGTTGGCCCCATTTGCCTTCTTCACCCCTTCCAACTTTACTCATCTATGATTCTATGAAAATAAACCTTCTTGGTGTTTTATTATAGATGGTGTTAGGACAGAACATAAAGACCTTAAGTCTAAAAAAAGAAATTCTGTACCAAAATTGCCTCATTCATATTACATAATCCTCTTGAAGGCACTGTGGCTAAACACGCCTAACCTAGAATAGGCTTATAGCCTAGAAACACTATAAACCCTAGGTTCATCTGAATTGTCAGTGTTGCAAAAGAGAGGGAAAATCTTCAGATCAAACTCACTGTGTACTGTACAGCCTGTTTTGCTTTTCTTCTTTTTAAAAAAATCAATGGTATACATTGTTATTGTTGCACTAATGCAGTTTTCTTGAGGAGTGCTAATCTTGATAATGCAAATATATAAATATTTGAAGAGGCCTCTCACTGTAGTAATTGACTGAAGTGCCTAATGAGCAAAGGTCATTACATACCGTGAACATTATGGGATGGAATAGGATGTTAGCAAACAGGTGACCAGGAAGTGGTGCCTGAATTACAGCACCCGACGCATGCTAAAAAGGTAAGTAACACATTGTTTTACAATTCCTTTACCTAGCATGCGCCAAATAACATGAACCATATAATTATTTAATAACGTTTTAGTCAAATACTTGTGTTCATTTTAGCTAGGCAACAATGATGTTTCCTTTATGTTCATGCACATAATAGTTACTATTATTATTTGTTGTGTTGCTATTATTACTATTAATTATAGTCCCATACCATCCAATAGCTGAAACTGATCCCAGTTGGCATAATTCCAGAAAAAAGGGAACTATATCAACTATGACATATCTCTCTTGTATGCTGAGGTATTCCACTGAAAATTGCATTTGTGTTGGCAAATATTAAGTTCAGTACTTGAATGTTCTGAGTAGAAAGATGCAGGAGCCTTTGCCAATTACACCTTGCCTGGAAAGGTGAAGAACTCTGTGTGCTTCTTCTCACTACACACACCAAGTGAGAATAAAACAACCGCTCAGGGAGCTTTCAAGAACATCAGCAGTTCAGGAAGCCCATGGTTGAGGAAATCATCCAGCCAGACTGCTTGAAGTCATATTCACTGATTCATGTTATGTAGGTCTGCACTGTGACAATATCCCAGAATCTCCTGTGATGATGATGGTGGCCTTGGAGGCCTGCTCCCATTTCTTTCTGTGCTGCCTTTGATCTGGCTGGTTTGCCAGTACCAACCCCTGAGGACTCTGGAGCGTGGACTCAGTTTGCTTGTTTCACATTCTCCATAAATTGTATATATCACTACCTCTAAGTGAAGAACACATTCTTGCCCAAAATGAAATAAGCTCAGTGAAACAAAGGAAAAGAAATGACCAATTCACTTTGAGGTCTAGCAGTGCATAATGGCTGTTCCCTTATCTCAGTAATGGAGAACCTCTGACCCAACCAGACCCTCAGGTAAGAGCCTCCTCCTATCCAAAGCAGCATTTCTTTTTGAAGCTCTACCACACACAGTGGCTAGGGACTTGAGGAAGGGTGTGGGAGAGCTATCCATGTTGTACTCGCTGGTCACAGACTGAAGATAACACTGGGCGTTCCCCTTACTTAGCACAAGGCCCTCCCAGTTGGCAGGACATGGCATTCTAAATGTTTCACCTACTTTGGCTTTTCTCCACTGGGGAAAGGTGTGGGACAGGTGATTCCAGTTTTCCCAATCAGAGGAAGCTGGCACACAGCATGGCTGACTCCTTGGCCAAAGGGCTAGGTGCGGAAGCAGTCTTTCACTTGATCATTCAGTTGGGAAGGGTCTACTCTGAAGCCTGGATATTTTTTTTTGGGTGATTATTTCTACATATGAAAAATTGTATCCTGCTTGAGTCATGTTTTCATAAGTCTCCTGATATGATCTGATTTGCCCTCTCCTGAACTAGGGGGAGAAGACCGAACATCCTGTTGCAGACTCATTTCCATCAAAGGAATAACTAGTAATGTTCCTTTTCCCAAATTCCTGATCATGTGCATTTATGTGTGGAAGCTTGGTCAGCAGGTATAGCAAGTTAGATGGCCAGAAGGAAGAGTTTACCCAGGAAAATAATGAACTATTAAATGTGGGCTGCAATTCACTGCACATGAGGGATTAAGCTACACTGAACACACTGGAACTTATTTTTGGATGGGCATCCATAGGGTAAGCTATGTGGATACACTCCTGTGAATATTCAGTTAGTAGAAAGCCCCACTAAGTTCATGTTAACTTCCAAATAAACATGTATACGACTGCTTCATAAAGGAATAGGTGAGAAATTTGCTCTGTTAAGTGTTTTAAGATATTTAATCATATCCCACAAAACTGAATGCAGAATTAGATACAATTTGTTTTTGGAAATCTATACTTAAGAGCTTGCTGTGCCTTCTGTGGAAGAAAAATGTGTTTGACAGTGTGCACAAATCTGGTCAAAAACAGTATGTATCATATATCCATTAATGTGTCCATTTGAAA